TTATCTTTTTTCCTGCACCTTTGTCATTCTTTTTTTCCTTCCTTTTTCCTTTCCCCCCCTTTTTTTACTCCATATTAGTTTTTTTTCGTTTTTATCTTCTCTTTAAAACTTTATATATATATATATGTATGTATGCATGCATGCATGCATGTATGTATGTAGAGAGAGAGAGATGGTTACACACACACAAACATATATATATATATAGAGAGATGGTTTTATATATTTGTACACACAGAGAGAGAGAGAGAGAGAGATTGTTTGAGTTGCACAACTGAGATGGGATTTGGGAACTCTGCTTTTCATCTATAGACGTGTATTTGCACCCTCATTGTTTGCAGAAGAAAGGTTTGAATTTCCTTCAGCCCATGTTCTAAATCTGGTCTGCAGAGATTTGGGCCAGCCGGTTTGCTGACTCTCTTTGGAAGTTCACAAACTCCTGTGTTTTCCCCCTCCCGCCCCCACAAGCACTCCCCAGCGCATGGCCAATCTCGACCCAACCGGTCCTTCCAATCTTAAATCTCATTCAGTATTCCTTGCCTTTCTACTCTTCCTCCAACAAGACTTAACATGGTCTAATGTGGAGAGAAGTCAGTGACAAATCGGGATAACAGATAAATATGTGTGTGTGTTTACATACGCCTTTATGTGCGGGCTCTCTATTTATAAATAAGCTGTTCTGAAGTGGTGCACAATTAAATATAACAATCGAGCCATGTTTATTGAAAAAATAAACATGTTTTAAAGGTTTAATTTTATTGAAAAAATTAAACACTGTGTAGGAAGAACAGGGGGCAACATCTGATTTTGCAAACCAAGTGTCTGGAAAACAGCATGTCTTTCTCATATAAATTTGTAACTTGGTTGTCCAAGCCTTGGTTGTCATGCTAAAGAAATAGACGTTCATCCTGTTTAAAAGAAAGGTGTTAGGGATGGTGGAGTTACTGTTCCTTGCTGGTAACTGGAATCAACTGAGCAATAAGGCTTTATACATTTACAAAGGCCTACTGAGAATGAGAGAAAAGGGTGCCTCTGAACATGCCATCAGCCTGTGGATTGGTCATGGATACCAGAAGCAACTCTAATCGTGGAAACAAACAAACATGGTTTATTCTCCTTTGGAAGTCACTGTAACTTAGCCTGACCAAACTTGTGAACATAACATTGCAGGTGGGAGAGAAAACGTCTGTACATCATCTTGAACTTCTTGGAGGAAAGACAGGATCAAAATGCAATACATATTTAAGAATATAAGGAGCGTCCTGCTGGATTGGACCCTTGGCCCATCTAGTCCGCCAGTCTGTCCTCGCAGTGGCCAACTATGAGTCTTCCATAGAAGATGTCCAGCTTAAATGAAAGTTGAGGGAGAAAGAAATACATCTATCTTATTTTTCACTTGGGGGGATTAACTAGATCTGTTAGTTGGCCTAAAAATTAAGCTTCAGAGAGATTAAGGGCATCTCTCTCTCTCTCATATATATATAGTTACTAGCTTGCTCAGTCCCTTGATTGCATTATTAATATGGTTGCTTCTGTATTCTTGTTTCGAGAGCTTTTCTGTTTTCCACAGAAAGTTAAGATGCAGACCTTCTCAGATCCCTTTACAATTGAAGGTCTGTCCACCTTGGTAACAATGTTGGTCCTGTTTTCAAGGAGTCCAGATTTGATCCCATATAGCAGTGTTTTTCAAACTTGGCAACTTTAAGAGGCGTGGACTTCAACTCCCAGAATTCCCCAGCCAGCATGCTG